AAAACACATGTAAAAGACAAGGGCCTATATAATTATGGTAATTATCAGCGAAAATTATGTGTGTGCAGTCGTGAGAAAAGGCGCCGCATTGTGTTTGTTTAATACGCCTGAGGGCTGTAATGTTTAGCAGGGTTGTTTTAACTTAAAAAGCCATATTATAATCCTTATATCGTTCTAGAAATGGTCATTTTAATAAAACAATATTCTAAAGGTAGTCTATAGAATTGGAATTATTATAATTTTTTCTACAATAAAAAAAAAGAAAAAAGTACGAGTACGTTTAATGGTTTTAAACGCGAAATGCATTAGTTAATAATCACGTTATTTACAACTAGCTATGCTAGCGACTTAGTCCGCGTAGAATCGTTATTTTGGAGATTCAAATTGTGTTTGTTCCTGTTCAACGCTTAACGTTAAGCTGTTTCCTACGAAGACGTCCGAGTCCCGTCGTTCTTGCAAGTTAATCTTAAAATATATACTATTCTGGGCATTTATTTAGATAATTTAAAGAGGAATAATTGTTTAATACATATTTTTTGGGTATCTTGAACCGTTTTCTCAGCGTGCGCAACGGAAACCTTTCTGCGCTCCTAATAGTCACAGTGCGATGTTTTATAGCATATAGCCTTCCTCGATAAATGTTCTAACCAACAAAAATAAATGTTCAATTCAAACCAGTAGTTCATGAGATTAGCGCGTTCATAACAACAGACTCTTCAGCTTTATATATTAGTATAGATTTTAACGGCCCGCGTTCATCAGATGCGTTCGTAAACACATTTAAACAACACATATAATAATTATCTTCGTTTTAAATACTGTCTATAGTTTACGCGAATAGTACACATTTAAATAAAACACTTAACGGGTTAAAACGCGATATATTAGTTACTAATATATCGCGTTTTAAACCGTTAAAGTGTTTTATTTAAATATCTTCGTTTTTATTATTGCTATGTTTCATAACAAATGTATTCTAATACAATTTATGAACAACAATTTTGCGCGAAGCCCGATTGGATTTAGCTTGGTGTCATCAATCGAAGGCGGATATTCCGTGCAACTCATTTAAGTTGAGACCGACGTAAACTTGTTACATAACACCTTATCAATGCCCGCCTGAAACTTCGAATCCTGCACGTGAGGTTACAGAGAATGGGAGAGTAAATAATAATTAAGTAGCCATACATTGATGTATATAGATTATTTTCTGTGGCAATTTTAAATATAAAATAAATTTTATATGGCAATCGGTTTGTAAGGTCGAATTCAAGTCGAAAATTATGATTCTAAAATGAATTTGTAATTAGAAAATCTATAATATAGATTTAAAATATTACGACAGCGGCGGGACTTATGCCGGAAGCGTTCGACCCATTCGTTTGTGAATTTGCCGTTTGCTGTGGATGCCAGTTCAAGTCCCGCCCGGAGCGAAAACTTTTTTCGACCTAAATAGAATACTGTCCGTAGTTTACGCGAGCAGTACACATTTCAATAAAGACGGTGTTTTATTTAAATCTGAACAGATTTTTAAATAAAGCTGACCTGGCAAACCTTGTTTTGCCATATAAATAATTTCAGGAGAGGAAAAATGATTGAATTTCTAAAATGGCCATTGAAAAGTAAGAGTTGATCGTAGAAGGGTGAAAATGGAGGATTGTATGTATTTTTGTATGTTGTATCATATACAAATAGAAATTAAACATTTTGTCTAAAAAAATAAATAAAAAATGTAGGGGTGGACTACCCCTAACATTTAGGGGGATTAAAAAGAGATGTTGGCCGATTCTCAGCAGCACAAAAAAAAACATAAGAATCGTTCAAGCCGTTTCGGAGGAGTATGGCAACGAAAACTGAGACACGAGAATTTTATCTATTAGATAATGCCATCATGACATCTATGCTATGACATTTGTGTCATATGTCATAGCATAGAAAATTTCTTTCAAATTTTAAACATGTTAAATCTCGATATTTAAGAAGTTGTAGGAACATCGAATTTCTGTCCGCGTCACGCACCATAGCCACAGTTGGGAAATCTTTTGGCGTTTTAATTTCCAATGATTTCCGAATGCCCAGACTAAAAAGGGTGCTCCACGGCGAATTTTTTTTAAGCTTTCCCTTCCCCCCCTTTTTTTGGGGGGCCCCCCTTTTTTTTTTTCCCCCCCCCCCCAAAAAACCCCTTTTTTTGTTGGAAAAAAATTATTAATGATGTCTACTAACATATTTCTTAATGATTGTAGTGAAATTCGTTTTTTTATCTTTAAACAATTCGCCGTAATTTAGTTTTACAGACAGAGTTTACAGACACGCAGGCGGTTCTAAGTAAGGCGCTATCACAGCTACAAACTGCCTTGCACATGCAAAGAGCTCGTTTTGGAGTTCCGTAGATGTAGCGAGTGCCGATCGAATACATAAGACCCAAGTTATTGCCGAAAGCGCGAAGGTTACTGTATATTATGCAAAAATGACAGTGCTTTCTATAAAGCTGGCAACCAAAGCTGTGTCAGCGAATTCGACTACGCGTAGAATAGTTAGTTTGGGCATAGTTTTTTTTTTAAAATTTTTTAAACATTATTTTCATTTTTTTTTTTTCCCCCCTAATTTTTTTTGCAATTGAATCTTAAAAGTGTGCAATGATCTTTTAAAGAGAACTCATTCTTTTATACATATTTTTTGAGTATTCCTTGATACATGTATTAAGCAGCGTACGCAACGGAAACCCGCAAGGATGAATAATTTATCGCGTATGTTCTACATTTCTCGCTGTTTCTTCATCGTTCTAATCGTCGCAGCGCGTTATTTTACTATAGCCTTCCTCGACTACATGCTCAAAACAAACTCTTCAGCTTTATATATTAATATAGACTTAGGACATTTTGTATGTTAAAATTTGTTTAGACCAGCTTCGGTATCCTATAATTCCTGCTCCCACTACTACTACACTCGGGTTATTAGTGATTTAATAGCTATCGAAAGATTGAAATGAAATTGCTATATATATATATATTTACTATATATGTATATATACACGCATATATCTATTTCGGTGTAATAGAGAGCACTCTTAATAAACTATAATCCTTGCAGAGATCTAAGAGTTTCGTTAAAGAAATTTGATACCATTTTAGAATTAAAGCAAATGTTCTAGTTCTGATGTACCTTCAACTCGCCTATCGCCTATGACTTAACCCACACTTTTATTGATGCCAACGCAGCTTAAAATGAATACTTTGTAAATCCATTTTGCAAGCATATAGTTTATATTCTAAGCTGTAAAATGGCGTTCCACAATCGCTCTCGTTGCTAATATTCTTCGCGAAACATTGTGTTATAGTAAATTGCCTTGTGCTTTTGATGTTATGAATGATGCAAGAAAATTTTAATAGCGTCCGGTATTTTTTATAGATTTTTTTAAATGATAGAGTTCACTTGATAGTAGGTAATATATCCCAGCCTATAGCATAAACAAGATGTGCTGTTGACTTATTTTGCTTTCGATATTCCGAAATCTACAGACTGAAACCGAAACGCAATTAAAATTCACGGCGTTTCATCTGTGGACTTTGGTTCGTGACCCGAGCGGAATTTCGATATTCCTACCACCATTTAATATCCAGATTTCGACAAAGTCCTACGTGTTTAAAAAAAAAATAGTTTTTTCAAAATTAGAAACATATTGGACCCGGTGGGGATCGAACCCACGACAAGTTGATTATTAGCAGCACACATTACACCAACAAGTCCGTCAAAGAATATAGCATAAGCTTCCAATTTACTTCCTGGAGGTCGGGAGCCTAATTCTCAGTTGTGCATCAAAATCATTATCTTAGCTCCTACAGAATAAATCGGCATGATAATAACATACATGGTTCAGGGTTCATGTCTCAGGGCAATAGCTGTAATTAAAAAAAAAACAGAAAACATGATTGTCAAATTGATCATCAAACACACAGCAGTCAGTGTGGTACGGTTGTGTGTGTGTAGCCTATTTACCCACTTTGAAGGCCCATTTGTTAATCCCTATTTTGCTCTTGAGAGATTTAAAAAAAGGTAAATTGAATTCGTTGAAAGCAAACGTGATACCTTTATTAAGTACGGTAAGCGTGGTCGTCAGTTCGAATCTCGTACAGATATTTCCCATCTTGATCTGAAGATTGGAAATATCAATAATAATTGTATAATTTAAGATTTTTACTGTGCTGGTTATTTATACACTATAGCATATTTTTTTATCTCGATACTTTAGATTGATATATTTAAAGTCTCGAGATTTAAAAAAAATATATGTTTTTTAACCCCAGACAACTAGATATACAAGTAACATAAAATATGTTATGTAATATTTGAAAACGTTATTATTTTTTACACGTTATGCACATGAAGGCACTATATAATTAGAAAAAAAATTTGGACTCGGGCAGGACATGAACCGGCATCGTCAGCGTTCCGTGCTGTTACTGTACAGCAAGGAACGACGACGGATCGAAGACAGTTCAACAAAAAAATAAACAATTTTTCGATATTTAAAATATAGTAGGTAATATTTATTTATTTCAATTAATAGAAAGTAAAGTCTATCGTTATTATAACAATATATAATAACGATAGCCTTTACGTACGTAAGTATTATTTCTTAATCTTGTCATATAAATAAATAACACATAAATCAAAAATATTTTTTGTTATATTTTTCTTAACGAGACATTCGTATAGCTATAAAACATAGATATCTTTTACTCAAGAGCTCATGGCAGATTGGACAAGATTATACATTAGGTACACATTATACAGATAACATCAAATAAAACCTTGATTTGTCCAATTTTATCTTACTTATCATCTGAATATAAGATAAACGTGCTTTCATCTGAGCGACGAAAAAAAGCGTACGATAAAAAGTTCGAGAGAAATCGAACGTGCGTTTCGACCAGTTGGACATCCCAAGGGACATCCATTGGGAAAGATCCCATCTTTGTGTTATAGGGCTCTTAGTTCCATTACACGATTCCCATTTCGATAAAGTCATCTACAACCCCCTGGATCCTGTCTTTCATTCTTCTATCCACTTTAATTGTCACTTCCATCAAATCGTCGTTTCCGTCATGTGTCGCTTCTTCAGATGCAAAGAAGAACGGGTAAAAGTATAAGGAAACCATTAGCGCGTAATCTAGGCATTGGTGAAAACACTCGTCAAATGATTTCGTTGGATATACATTTTCCACATCAACGTCGAATCTATTCAGGAATTCTGCGAAAGCACTATAATAGAAGTCTTTGAGATAATAAAGGTGTTGTTTTCTGAAAGATCTGTCGCTTGACGCAAATATGAAGTAAATGAGATCTATGATTGGATTCCCATAGTATATTTGCTGATAGTCGATCGGGAGTACATCCACTAATAGGCCATTCTGAAAGTGAATTATAATAAAATTAACTTGGTATGTAATCCAAACGTTCTTATATAACTTTTATGACAAAATAGGACAGACAAACAAAAAAATCGTTATCTTGATCGAAGTTTAAATATCTCAATGACATCATATTGTGGCCGTCGACGTTCGGAAATCCACAGGTTAAAACCAAAACGCGGATTAAGACGTTAAGTTCAATAGATTTTTATTATTTATATTTCTTTCTTGTTTCCTAAGTTAAGTCGAAATTAAGTCGTTTTAAATTTAGCTCGAACTATAATCGGTAATTTCATCTTCCATCAAATGATCCCCAAGTGTGGCTGTGTTGTTAAAAGACACGATTCTTCTTCTTATACAGAAAATAATCTTTAATTTCCAATTGAATTCGATGTGAGTTATAGAAAGAACTTCATAAGGGCCCAAATTTTCATCAGACGTCATTAGACCATTATTTATGTTTTAATCAAATAAAATCTCTTTGTATTCATAATAATATAAAACAGTGATAAAATCTCCATAAGTAAACCGTTTCAATTTTGCTCAATCAATACAATATTTTTTGAATAATTCGTCAGTTGTGTTTATTCAACGCTAATTGGATTTAAACAAGAATTGCTATATGTTATATAATGCGATTCGAATATAGGCCGAGCACATATTATCAGCTAGTCATATAAATGTGTCCGCATTACATAGATCAAACAGAATTTGCAATTGATCGTGCGTGTATACGAAATATTGTTAAAATAGTTACGTAGCACGTAAAAAGCTTATACGTTTTTCAAATACTTATAAAAATTCGTAGACTCGGAGATCAGGTAATCTGAACTTATAAAGTTCGCGCAATAAAAGTATTGTTTTGCAATCAAAACTTCCCGAGAGAATATAAAGTGGTCAGTGAACTGGGAGCAAAACTCGTCGAACTCTGTGTTAGGTTGTATGAATAATATTGTGGTTATTATATATTTGAACCTAGTGTGTATAAATTAAATTTGATTCATTATTATATATCTATAAGGATTATTAGAATTTAGGTTACAAAATAACTCTTCAAATTATAAACTCAAAAAACTCTTCGATTCTCTTTTTATCAAAACTACTATATAAACCTATATAATATTTAATGTGACTATAACTAGCATAGCCCCCCCCCCCCCCCGCCCCCGCAGTACAGCATCCCGAATATTGGCTCGTTGCAAACAATGGATTGAAACATATTTTTCATTTTGGACCGTGTTTTAAAGAGTAATATTATAATACAAAGCTTATGTTAATACTAATGTTGTGCAGTGCTTTGTCTTAAGTAAAACAGCGAAAAGAAACGAAGAATACTTTTCGAAATGAGTGCCTACATAATATAGTAAAGCAAGACTAAGCCGAAATAAATAAGCACAAGTGTTATATAGGGAGACAGTCTCCCCGTGACCACGGCTGCTGCAAAGCATCCGAAACGTCGGGCCGAAGTTAAAAATCATTTTCAAATAAGTTTAACTAATATATCGCGTTTTAAACCGTTAAAGTGTTTTATTTAAATGTGTACTACTCGCGTAAACTATAGACAGTATTTAGGGCTACCTGTTCTTTCACCATGATATTATTCATCTTGTAGTCTCCATGACACAAACATTTAATAGAGCACAGCCCACCAGTCATATAGATTGAATATTTTTCTAAGGTAGTAGGAATGTAATTCCTTATCCGCTCCTTGCTCTCATCATTTAATTGAGCGATAGATATCTCGCACGTTTTCTTCACAAGTTCGTTCCAATATTCATCATAGATAAAAGATTGTTTTATCGTTCTTATCTTGCTTTCAAAGTATTCCGGCTTTTTCTTCTCTAACAAAAACGACAGTGAATGGAATTTCGCAAGTTCCTTCAAAGACATTTCCGCAAATTGCAATGACATTAATTCAAATCTATTTGTTGGCCTGTATCCCTTTTTTGTTATATTTTCCAGAATAATTGCATTTTCATCCATTTCCTTGTAACTCTTTACAAATTTTAAACGATCCTGTGGTAGAATATTAGCTTCGTCTTGGATGTTTTCATACATGTTAATAAGCTCATTGTAAAAATAAACTTCCTTACGATATACTTCTGGTATGGAATACACTTTAAAATCTTCGTTGTTAATGATTTGTTTCACAAATAGGTTAATTTCTTTATCACCATGCGATGTTACACCTTTTATATCGATCTCAAATAATTCGCCCATGAAATTATTGCCAGCAGTACAAACATTTTTCACAAACACTTCATGTTTAACAAAGCCTTCCTTTTCTATAATTGTAGTAACACAATCTTGTATAGAACAGTTACTCGCGAATACCTTGTTTTGTTCTGCCATGTTACAATATTGTAATCGTCTGTTTAAATAAGAGACAAAATAACAAACATCATAAAGTTACGTATATTGAGTTATTGTTCAAACAGCACACTTTACCGTAATAAAATATATACGACTGTGTATTCTGATGTTATTTCAATACGTCGGCTTACAAAATGATAGCGTTAAATAACTTAAACACATTCTACTGTTTCGTAAATATTTATCACAATTATCACAGATAACCTGCAAAACACGACATCACGTGGGAAAGTACTGACAAACGTCATTTACAACCATCTTGAAGTTGATTAGGGATCACTGGTTACAGAGTATAAAACGCAATATAATCTGTATTTTCCATAACTTGTGTTTGTTTGTGACGTTGAAGTATCTGTCAATTGACCTTATGTCATGATATATTTTTGTCAGACAATTACGGTTTAAATTGTTAACTTTAAATTGTTTTCCCTATTATGTACGCTCCTTCTTTTCAAAAGCAAAGAAACTATTATTCTAAAATAGTTTTTATTGCGATAAACATAAAATGATTTTTATTGTATTAATTGATTTAAAATAAAGAAATATTCCTATTGAGTAAGACAACTGAGGCGTCAAAAATAAACACAAGGTGTAGATGTATGTACTTATATTATTTTATTTTAGTAGAATGTATCTTTTAAAACTACTTCCTATAATTTCAATAGTATTTTTAAAGTCTAACATTTAACATAAATATAAAACTTAAAGTAGTTTAATATTTGGTAAATGAATTCTAAAAAGCACAACTTTAAACACATTTATAGATTAAAACAATTAAATACAACTTATTATTATATCCACAAATACATAAATGTAAATAAATATATATTAATGAAATTTGTTTTTACGCATTGACATAATTTTCTTTATATTTTATATACTCTTCGCAAACTCCAGCGACTCTCTCCTGAAATCGTTTGTCTACATGAATAGTTTTATTTATGAGATCGCTTCCAGGTTCAACAACATTAGACTCGTCACTATAACAAATCGGTAATAAGACTAACGTAACATAGAAACCTAAACCACGCATTCTTTCAAAGTCTCTTTCAAACACCTCCGTAGGAAAGACTTTTTCCATATCTATGTCAAAATACTTCAGAAATTCATCCATTGTCCTTCTATAAATATCTTTTATATGTCGCTCATGATTTTTCCGGAATTCACTATCGGCAGAACTGTATAAAAGATAGATTAGGTCCGTCACTGGAGAGCCGTAAAAGAGGAGCTGGTAATCAATTGGAATTACTGTGATTTCACCGTTCTGCAAAAAAGATAAAATTTGAACGAAGTAGAAAACATTACGATTAAAAATTTACAGACAATCATCTAAAACAGTAGCTTAGTCGTAAGCAACGATACCGTACGTTGTTTTCAATTGAATAAAACACTATAAATACTGTTTTTGCCACTAATTTTTTAAAATTTCAATGGCTATTCCCTTATACTAACCTCCTCCTTAGCTAATATATTATTCATTCGGTAATCACCGTGGCAAAGACAATTCACTGTTGCCAGCGTATCAGAAACATATCTGGGAAACATTTTAATCAAATGAGGAAAATCACAGACAAACACTTCGCCCAATCCAGCGTCAAAATATTTGACTGTCATTTCAAAACAATTCTTTGCTATTTCAACGTACTTATCGTTAAAATTAAGCACCGTTTTCTCATTTTCAATAGTATTCTTATAATACTCGGGCATTTCTTTCTCAATGACAAATGATAGTGCGTGAAATTTAGCTAGTTCTTTAGCGGAAGATTCGGCGAATTTCATCGGCATTATGTCCATTCTATAAGGAACTTTGAAATCCTTCTTTGCCAGATTCTCCATTATTATTGCTTGTGTACCGGATTGTTTGAAGCATTTTACATACTTGAAGCGAAACTCCGCTGGAACATTAGCCTTACTTTGTAATGTATCAAAGATATTGGACAGTTCAGTGTAGAAAAACACTTCTTTTAGATATGCTCTATCTATATCCAAGAAGCCATGCAAATTGTCTGCGGGAACCGCTTGTTTAACAAATAGATTTATTTCCTTCACACCGTCATCTGTTTCTCCTGTAATACCTATTTCATATAGGCTTGCCAAATAATTTCCTCCATCAGGGATTATAGGCTTTACGCGTTTTTTATAACTAGAGTAGTGCTCCTCCTTTATTATAGCCTGTATAGCCTTTTTTACACAAGAATGTAAATTGTCTTCATTGTTTTTATCACATCTCTCATCGACGTTAAATGTTTCTAATGTATAACTTTGCTCTTCAACTTGCATCGTGCGTGTCTAAAGTAATGACGAGAAAACATACTCCTCAACAAAGCATGACCATTTTATATACGGTTCAAAAGATAACAAATATTTCGTTTTGTCTTAATAAATATTTGATGTGTTCATTATCTTTATGTGTACAGAAGAATTTTAGTTTGACATTTTATACAATAGTTCATTTCATGGGTGCCTACTGCTCATTTTATCATAAGCCATATTATTTCATTGTTAGGCTAGGGCTTTATTCAGTTCAAATATTCCTGTTTCACACAAGAAGAATTATGTACGGAGCAGAATCCTCTGTACCTACATGCGCTACAATTACACCGTAGTACATTAATACCGTTTTTATTTTCAAATACGCTTTAATATATTAAAAAGAAAACATGTAAATTAGGATAAAAATCATTTATAGCATATGAGATTGAGTTTGATGTTAAATAAATAAATTTGAGTGTAATTTGAGGCCGCTAGATGCAGAGTAGTCTAATTTCGATTTTTTTTATAACTTCAATTATTAAGATTTTCATAGTCTAAAAATGGTAATCTACAAGAGAACAGTTACCGAAAATTGTTAACATCAATTTTACGTAAATAACTGTTAAATTCTTTTTTTTTTCGAAATCCCGTTTCCCCTCGTGGGGCATAGGGCGAACACATTTCTGTGTCCGTTTCACTGATCGGTTTTATTTACAGGCAAGTAGTTGATCAGACTTCTGTGCCCTGCCCGACCGAAACAGTTTACTGTTTCCCCGGGATTCGAACCCAGGACCTCTCGCGCTTAATGCAATGCTAGGCTGTTGTATTTAACCATTTGGCTACAGAGGCGGTAAAATACATTTTAGACTAAGTTAATATTGCATTTTCATGTAACTCCTTATTGATAATTATGTTTTTTGATATTAGGCCACTCTGCCTCTAGCACCATAATTTATTTTTGTTAAAAACAACATGTTTGATTATAATTCAAAACTCTATAGCATAAGACTTGTATATAAGCATTATTTATTTCAAAATGAGAGAACTCTTAACTAACATTGACTCTGAAAAGCTATTATTACGTTGTATTAAAAGAAATATTCTTCGACATATTAAGATTTCTTTTGTTTCGTACCAGGGCGAAGTAAAACAGTACATTCGCTTAGAGACAATAGACTTGTTTCATCTATAAAGTGGACTACAATTACACCGTCAAGCCCTAACACCAGTCTTATAAGAAAAAGTGGGGTCAAAATTAGGACAGTAGTTAGTAACTAATACATAAACATTCAATAAAACGGAGAAATTTCAGAGAGGTTAACACGGAGATTATATTTATTATTATACCGTCATATATCTGAACACAACATGAAAATAAACAAACATCACGAAATTCTATATAAATATATAAACTGTTTAATTAATATTTCTATAATAACATTTAATTAACACATTTAACGGATTAAATCGTGAACAACTCGACGTTTTTGTAGGTCTACCATCAATTTTGCGACATGTGCATGTATTATTATTATGCATGGATTTAACAGATTTTTAAAGAAGTCTCGGTAGCTCAGAAGAGCAACGGCAAGCAACTGTTGGTTCGAAACCGGGTCATAATATCTTTTCATTATGTTGTATTTTCAGATAGGCAGTGTAGTTGACAATACAAAGTATCGCTACCTACGCAACACTGTTAAGTCATTCATCTCAGTATGTTTGTCAAACATTTGATGTTATTTTCACATGGTTATCGTTGACGTAAATTTACAATTATTTTATATTTACTAATGTCTTAACGAATAGTACGACAATTGCGTCGTGTTAAGTTACCTACATTCTCATGGAATATTCGATAACAAAAAGTTAAATGTTAGATTTGATCTCTTGTCTAGCAGCCGTGGTTACGGGGCGACCGAGGATGGAGGTTGGCGTATTCCGCCTAAGTACTTCGCATTTTAAACCGTTAAAAGCGTTTTATTTATGTGTCTACTACTTTGTGTATTAAGTACAGAGAATACTAGATCTATGTACGATTTTTTGATATTTTAAACGACGCGACTCGACAAAAAAAGAACACAAAAACAAAAGAATGTGCCGTTATACCGAGAATCTATTAACAGATCTATCTATTTTTAAATAAGACTCTATTAACGGTTTGAAACGCGCATTAACTTATTTTAACTACGACGTTCTGGAAGCTTCTAAACAGCCGTTGCCATGAAGGGACTTAAGATCGAGTATTCCTCCTTCGCGTTTTAACCCGTTAAAATCGTTTATTTATATGTCTACTACTTTGTGTATTACGTTCAGACAATACTAGATCTATTATACGTTTTCTTGGCTGTCGAACGGTGTAACACAGAGTCGCTCCGCTTCGTTGTCACGACCTTGGTGGGATCGACCGCGACCGTTCGCAAACGTTAGGGGACATTTAGCTGTTACCCAATACCTTTCAATTCACTGAACCCAACCAGCACAAAAGACCGTTTAATACAAATTGTTACGAGTGTATTCTGAGACTTGAACCCAAAGATTCAGTTAGGCGTGTGAAAATATTGTTTTACGAGATCAATAGGTACCAATAATTGAGTATATTATGATCAGGTACGGCAGTGAGAAATATACATCATGTTTATATTTTATGGGGGTGTGGAAGATTATTACTATGTTTGACACTAGATTTTGAGTGCATTTTGATGCAATTTCATTAATTTGATTGATTTGTTTACACCTAACATCGTGGTTTAACATTTTTTAGGTTATTTTTTTCTATATACAAGTTAAAAGTTTCTTTTAGGGTTAGTAGTACTTTAGGTTTTAATATTTGTAGTTATTGTTATTATAGTAACATATAGTAGATAGAATAAGTATCTTTATTTCGCATGATAGATTGTAATTTAACGTTAGCGAACCAATAAAAAAATTGTACATTCGGAAAAATTACAAAAATTATTCCGAATATCCAAAGTCGAAATACGGGTTGACAGCGCATCTGATTGAGACGTTGGGGATATTTCATGTTTTAAATGAACTTCATTCTTGTATATCCACCTCTATTGTAAAAATATTTAACTCATTGTAGATTCTCTTTGATACATATAATTACGGTTTACGTAGAAAGGTCAAGATAGTTCTGAACTCAATTAGACCTACTCTGGAAATGCTTGGACAGTTGATAGTTAACGTATTCAATGGTAGGCGATTCGATTATCCTATACCTGGAAACTTCGTATAACATTTATCTATTGAATTTGGTATTCTGTATTGATTTTACTTGGCGACAGGTATTATTGTATAGACCATTTTATCAATGTCTGCCTCACATACGCAAAACAACATAAAATTCTTACCTGCTAAGGATTTCAAAGCTGAGTTGTTTTTGTTTTTGCTTTGGTACATTTTGTGATATTTCATATTAGGTTGTGTGTGTCTAACAGTTCAGCTAACATCCTACTTAAGAATAGTGGTCATAACACCACTTGATTACCTAAATTTTTTAAAATTGAAAATAGTAGGAAAAATTAAGAAGGTAATTTAAAATATTAATAAAGACTAACGCTTGAACAATTATTATTTCAAAAAGGCTGCACTTACTAATAAAATGTATTTCCAATTGTTAGAATGTTGATAAACAACGCAAAGTAAAGCAACAGCTAGCGACGCGGTCGTCGTCTTCCACGTGTCACCATTTGTTATACCGAAAATATATTTTAATAAAAAAATACAACGAAACTCAGTCTCTCCTGACTTAACGTGAAAAGCCATAAAAACATCAAAGTATTCCTTTAACAAAGTTGCGAACATTGATCCTTTACCGCGAAATTTAAGAGACAAAAGTTCTAACTTCTCCCAAACAAATATTTTCCGCTTATTTAATCTATCTTTAATCTCCGAAGTAACGTGATCAATCAGCTCTCGCAAACATGTTTTCGGAGTAGGCTGCAAAATATTTTCTAAGAGAGTCTGAAAGATTACTTTTGAAGTTCTATTCTTATAAAGACTTGTGCTTTTGATCTGCTTTCAAAGGTGAAAGGGATGTTTTTACGAAAGCTTACCTCACCACGATTTTACCTTGTCTAATATATAATTACATTTTTATTCCACCAGCCATTCAGAATAGTGCCTAGATTTACAACTGAATAAGCAACATATTAGTGATAAAATTAAATTAATCGAATATATAATAAACTATGTTACTGACTTCGTCCGCGTAGAATAGTCATTTTGGGCATTCAAATTTGTTTTTGCAAACATGAAGGAAGATGAAGTGCATCTTTACGATCGCGTTCCGTCATTCTTGCAAGTTAATCTTAAAAGATAGATATACATATAGTGTCATCTAACTAACGTCCGTACGCTGCGAAATCGGTTCACGATACTCAAAAAATATTTATGAAAGAACGATTTCACTTTAAAGAATCTAAACACTACATGTATATGTGTACATGTAGTGACTCACAAAGATGAATAATCTTTTCCGTATTTTCCACATTTCCCGCTGTTTCCTCGCTCCTATTCGACACGTCTAGATGTTTTATAGAAGCCTTCCTCTACCCAATACAAAAGATTTTTTTAATTCGAACCAGTATTTCCTGTGATTTGCGCCTTCAAATCAACTCTTCAGATTTATACATTAGAATATATTATATAGACAATATTAATCGATTATGATGATGATGATAAGTATGGCAAAACTTATCATCCTACTTTTGACAAAGTATAATACGTAATTACCCGTAACGTTTCGGTAGAGAGGAATAACGCGAGAATAACCGCCACAAATAGTTAATTACGACCTCATTTTCCCGCACGTCGCTTAATACTGCTAACCTTATTTAATAAATATAGAATATTTTCAGCGTTCTACAGATTATGATAAAATGCGACCTGGTTTCGTCTTTTCAATTTTGTTTCACTGATCTGTTTTATTGACAGATTTTTTTTTAATAACAGAGGCGCATACACAAGTTTGGAGTTAACATACTAACAAGGTGCACCTTTGACCTATTTTGTATTTAGAGATTTAGATATCTATACTGAACTCGAAACTCGATCAAACTTCAAGGCTTTTTTCATCTGTGACTTTTTACCTGGCGCCCTTTGAACATCCAGATTTTCCAGATGAAGTCCAACAAACTTCAGAAAAATGGTCGGATTGACGGGGATCGAACTCGTCAATTATAAGCGGTAATCAAACAAACCCGTCACAACTTATTCAATTATTTTTATAGATAGGAAGATTCATACTTGTATTTTATATAAGTATATTTATACTGTCATAGTAACTTAAGAAATTCTTAAGTACGCATTGGTTTTAGTATATAAATCTAATGTTGTACGAATTTAATTAAATAAATAAAAGAATTGGTCTGTCTTAGCGTACCATATTTATTATGGACGTAACAAGCACCTCAGAAACAGTCAAACATTCATCACCACCAACGTAGCTGGAAAGGCATATCTCGTGATGAGCTCAAAATCTCACATCACATCACACTCTCTCTCATCTCAGCTCAAAGCTCAAATCCACGGCACTGCTCCAGTGTGTGGGCGGCTACGGGTCGCGCCACTAAATAAGTGATATTAACCAGTAGTTTAGGATGCTTTCCGAGGCACAGGGGTGATGACATCTTCTATATCCAAGCCTTGGACTGTTACGACTTTTAAATAAATTTTACATACTATTTTTTTTCTATTAGAGACATCGATAGAAGGCCTAATGATTAGTCCAGATCCAGTAACCATTTTCCTTTTACGTGGGACATTGGGTTATCCAATTCTCACTGTGTCCCTTTTAAGTTAGTGATCCACAAGCCAGCATAGTTAAATGAACTGGATTTTCCCAATAAACTTTTATTCTCATCAAAATAAGAATTGACATGAAATGTCTTTGAATTTCAAAACAACCTAGCCATCTTAGAATTGTGTCATTGTATTGGATAAAAAGATTCCATTAAAAATATCGAAATGAAACGTTCTTTCTAGAAACCCAATTTAATTCCATTCGAAGAAGTCAAAGCCTACTCGTTTACCCCTCGCTCGACAGGAGACCGTCGGATTTAATTAATTAATCTAAAGTAAAATATACTAATTGAAAAAGACATTCAGATTCAAACAGAATTAATTAAATTGGCAAGAGCATAACGAGTCCGCCGTATGGAAAGCTGTATCGGATTTTAATTGCCGCTCTCGATTATTCTAAGAGTTAGATAACGACGGTGTTTTACTGATACAGTATTATGATGTCGCTAGAGGTAGAGTAGCCTAACTGCAATTTTATGATTTGACTTATTTATATTTTTATAGTCTAAAAATGGTCAAATAGCACAGTGAATTGTTATCATAATTTTTACACAAATAATGGTACAAGTTCATTTTCACCCAACTTAATTATTTTCTTCCTTATTGAAAATCATGTTTTTTTAGGCCATTCTGCCTCTAGCAACCTCATACATTGTGAATCTTATAAGCATCGCTAGTAATTAAGGGGTCGTGAGTTTTGGATCTGAAGTCTTTCTAACCGATTAATAGTTTTTCTTAAACATGTTGGACTTCTGAAAACCTAATATTTTTACATGTATTGTTCATGTGAAAAATAAAGTTTGATAAAAAGGTATGTTATTTGAAAAATATATATTTTTCTATTACAGATAAATATGGCCGACAGACGAGAATAAGTAAACATGTACACTAATAAATCCATCCAAAGATTCACCATGAACCGATGTCCGACCCAAATTCTGTTACCCATACTCACGATTCTCCTGCCGTATATATCCACGCTCAACCTTCCAAGTGGAGATCCGGCCCCAGGTCGCTCCCCTGGTCCACCCTTCTATGAAAACATGGATTTAGACTACGAAGAGACAACAACCAATGAAGCTACAACAATGGAGGTGATGAGTGATGCTTGTAAGTACGAGAGAATCTCCAGTGAAAGTGAACAGGTGGTGACACTGAGTGACGCTGATAGTGAAGTGAATCTGACTGTCAACCATGCTGTGTTTGATACTGCTGAACTTGTTCGAGGAGTCGTTTATGATGGTAAGTAGCTTTAATAGTAATGCCCGTTTTGAAATAGAGACCCTTGACAAGGACAAAATTTGGTTTCATTTTAGAACAGTGTAATAAAGTTAGGATGGGCTGATCTATGTTAATAATTTAGTAGCTAAAGAGTTTATGTTTATTAAACAACAGGTTCGCATTGAAAAATATGTTTTGTGTTGATAGGACAATTTATTGATGAACGTCATAAAACATAAGGGTGGGACCAATAGGAGTGAAGAAGCAGAGGGAAATGTGACGGGGGAAAAATTTTACGCTTTGAGAGGTTTTGTTGCTTGTGCTAGGAAAACGATTTAGGAAACCAAATAATATTTATGTGGTAAAATGACTTTTCTTTAAATCATCTAATGTCCAGTATATGTTTATAGTTTAAGATTAATTCGTAAGGACGTCGGGATGTGGACACGTTAGTAATTGCTACACATGGTACCATGGTTGTTTGCTAAACTAAATATTATGGTGCCCAAAATAACTATTCCACGCGGACGAAGTCGCACAGCTAGTTATCAATATGGTTTTCAAGTTAAATCAACTAAACGATCTTCTTTTATGTTGTATAGATTTCGTCTTTATCAGAATACGGAACAAGAAATATGCAAATATTTATAACTTTAAATTAAAATGGCGTCTACGAAAATCTCTAAGACAGTGTAATCAGCGTAAATTAATGACTTCATAGAAGTTAAACTTCACTTCTCGAGTTGCTAACAAGTAGGACCTTCGTGTAGAAATTCTTAAGTATAATGATAACGAGGGTAGAATTAAAAATAAATTCTAAACGTGGAGATAATCTATATGTTGCATTGGTCTTATGGTGAGTAGACTTAACAGTTCATGAGGATCGGTCATGGGGAATTGAATATTATTTAAGAGACTGCCTGATACCATCCTGAAGTTAGGAGGTAGATGTCAAAGTCAAAAATCATTTATTCGTGTAGTTAACTCGGTACACTTATTAAGATCATAAAACTCGAGAGTCAATTTTACATTTAGTACCAGTTCTCAAATCAAAGGCGAAGAACGAGAAGACCTGGCAAGAAGAACTTGCCGTCACTCCTTTTATCGCCAAGTTTCATTTTACAGTCTTCACGTACTTTAAGTGCAGTACATATTTTTTCCTGTCCTCCCATGTCAACCCTGTACCACGGAAAGCACATTAATTTCCGGATATCAAAGCTCGCCAACATGGAGTGAATTAAGATGGTGGATCCTAAGGTTTTAAGAATTATTCTCCCTCTATATGATAAATAGGTAAATAATTTTGTTATCACTCGGAAACATCGAATTGTTATTGTTATATCTTTGTGGTTATTCTCTTTTACTTATACGTTACGTAATCTTGTGCTATATAAAGAAAATCTTGGCTCGGTTTCCTCAGCTATTCTTGAAGCCTATTAAGATACAAAGAGAGGGTTTAATTAATGGTACATTTATTTCAGTATCGTTCATAGTTTACGCGAGCTGTCATTGAAAATCATTCTTAATCAAAACATTTGTTCCATACAATAAAACAAAAAATACACAAAAATGTACTTAATTATATATTATATGTATGTGGACGGACACCACACAGCTTTTGTTGTTTCTGGAACTAGGCACAACGTCGATTTTCAACGATGCCCAACGCTTGACTTTTGTAGTTTGAATTGTACATACACTAATACACAATATGCCATATATAAACCCAAATATTTATTATAAAAAAATAAGTATGAACAAAAATATTAAATAAAAATTATTAAAAAATCTCTCAAAAATACATAATTTTTCTAGTTTTACGTATACGCCACTAAAGCACCTCTGAAATTTGCCTGTTAGATATTTTCTACCTTATTAGTAAATTTATTTTAGTCCCCCGAGACCACGGCTGCTGGAAAGCATCCGAAACGTCGTAGTTAAAATTAATCGCATAATATATTTCGAGTTTTGACCCATTTAGTGTTTTATTTAAATACATTTAGAACACGCAAAGTGAAAAGTTAATTTTGAACACAAAAATGGTGAAATTACTAGAGCAAAAATGATAAGAACGAAAATGAAATTTTTACAAGTAAAATTTTAACATCACAATAACTTAGCAGCTATAATTTTTAAAGACGTGGAGGAGGTTAAAAAAAACAAATTTGGATGCCAAAAATAACTATTCTACGCGGACGAAATCGCTGACACAGCTAGTGTATAAATAAAACAAAGGTTTGAAATTGAAAACATTAATATTTTTTACATGCACATGAAAGCACTATATAATTTAAAAATCGAAAATAAATTGAAACCTTTACCAATTGAGCTACCCAGTCCTACTATTAGCGCAATAGCTAGATAGCTCAATTGGTAGAGCAACAGCACGGAACGCTGACGATGCCGGTTCAAGTCCTGCCCGAGTCAAAAATTTTTTCAATGTATTTTCGATTTTTAAAAATTAGAACTAGTTTTTGCAAATGAGTGTATAATTACCAGAAGAGCACGAACCTAACGGAATGTTAAATGTTTTGCAATCTACGCTGCATTGGTAATTTCTGTAATTGTCATTACAATATTCATAGCTTTCCGCTCTGGGTATGAATAGTCTATTCGTAGTATTGAGGTTATTATGTTTAATGAAATTACGTAATTTTAATTATAGGAAACTTAATATAACTTCATATACTAACTTAATACACTTTTATTACAATTTCACGTTAAAACGCGATATATATAAGTTAAACGTATTTGGAAATTATTTTAACCACGGCCCGACGTTTCGGATGCTTTGCAACAATATTAGTTTAGGGGGGCTGAAGATGGAGGATCAGTAGTTTCCCTAATGTCAAAGTCTACACTACGCTAGCGCCATCTGTTTCGTCGTGTTTCGTATTAGGAGAAACTAGTTGAGCCTACAGAACTGACTTACGGTGTCCTCCCGATTCTCAGTATGCCATTTTTTGGGATCTAATGTTCTTAGTAAAGGATCCCAGTTGTTGAATATCTCGAGGCCGTTCGTTCTATTTAAATTTGAGTGTTTCTTTATTTCCATTGGTATACCAATAATACCTAAGCAATCTATAGAAAGATCCTAATTTTAATAGAAAAAGTTTACAAAAATAGACAAAGTAGAAATATATTTAAAAAAATATATTGCGTTTTAGACCGTTAAAATTGATTAAAAATCTTAGGTTGAAAAACTTTTACAACACGGACAGCTATTGAACCGGCACTCACAACATTTTTTGCCAACAAATTGATCTACCGCGTCCTGCACGTCATCGTCGAATTTTATCAACCCATTGAAAGACCGTTAAAATTTCTTTTTAAACACTTTACGGTTTAAAAGATATATTGCTGCAAACAAAGTCAAGTTAAAAAATCATTTTCAAATAAGTTTAACTAATATATCGCGTTTTAAACCGTTAAAGTGTTTTATTTAAATGTGTACTACTCCGTATTAGACAGTATGTAGTCTTCTATCATTATTACCCACGTAAATTTACACATAAGCTGTCTTCTTTAATATACGTCTAAAAACATGTTGATCATAATTTGTAGAACATGTATATTATAACGAGCTCTAGATTGTCGAAGATTCCTTTGGTCAAAGCGCACGTGACGTGCTTCAGATAGTTAATAACAAGACTGAGCTTCAAGTACTTATATATGGGCACTAAATTTATCAGCCCCACAATCCACCGGGTCATTATACGTGTATCGGTTGTTTTTGACTTTCAATTTAAAGACGGATGTAGTTACTCTCCTGGCTAGCATGATTTCGATCAGTCCGCACCATCAGCTGACCATTACACCCATTTTCCCATACTGTCTTTAGTTTACGCGAGTAGTACACATTTAAATAAAACACTTTAACGGTTTAAAACGCGATTTATTTTAGTTAAACTTGTTTGATAAATATTTTTAACTACGCCCCGACGCTCAAAGTTTAACTAAGATATATCGCGTTTTAAACCGTTAAAGTGTTTTATTTAAACCATTTCCTCTTTGCAGAGGTTGTTTTTTATATATTAGTATATAGATTGAAGTCCTGAGAGTCAGCTGTGGGAAATATAAAAATACTTTGAATTTTTTTCACATGTTATTTCAAATGATGGCGTTATATACATTAAAAATCGATATTAGACTGAAAAAAATATGAAATTTTACATTGGGCGAGGGGTGCATGTATCAATAAGTTAAAAAAATTAACGATGTCGCGTAGGACTCGGTAGTTCAATTGGTTAGAGCAACAAAACGGAACGCCGGTTCAAGTCTTGCTCGTGTCGTAAAGACATTCAATCGAAAATCGATTTGTAGTTTATTATGTATAGGTTTTTGGATATCCATGTAATCTACTTTTTTGGTAGTCGATATCATTAATTATGTTCTCGAGTTATTACAGGATAAAATAACAATGAATTATAACGAGATACCGGCCACTGGTATTTCACGTTGCCAGATCCCTAACAAATAATGGGATGTACACATCCAGGGCAGCTCATTGTTTGCCTAATGGATTAACCATCGTGGATATAAACGATCCGCCGCGGCCGTTACAAAGCATTTTCAAGCTGAGCCAATCTATCTTGCGCGAATATTGCGCGCTATCCTAGTTATTACGTAGATGTAGTTCAGATTCTGATATATTGTATTGTTATCCTTTGTGGAATACGTACTTTTCGTTTATCTATTGATTGGAGTGTATTTTTTTGTAAGTTTGATGAATCTATATTTGTTAAACTTATTATTGATGAATGATAATTAAAATTCAGAACAAACAGGCTATTTAAAATATGTTTTTTTTATGTATATCTTCAATTTTAAATTGTAATTAACTAACTATGTAGTAATGTAAAATTTGAATCTTTATCTAGTGTACCATTTTCTAAATTGAGATTTTTAGTAAAAAAACTATTAAATCTACATGAAAAAATGGTTTCCTCAAATGGTTTACATAGATTGACAAAGAACACTTTGAGACACTGAATTATATATACCTAATATTCACATAGTAAAAACCACA